AAATCATCCAAGTGCACTACATAACCAACAGTAATAGCGTATAAAAAGTACATTCTGTAAAAACTAGTACCTGGTCGGATAAGACATCTGAAAGCCAAATTCATTAATCTCATGGTGCATATTTGCATCCCTAGCTAGTGTCAAGAGAAAGTTCTGCAAAGATTTAAACAAAACAAATAGATTATCATAAGTAACAAGCCTTTGACGATATATGCTAAAAACGATAAACAATCTAGAAAAAACTTGATTAAACCAATAGTAGACACAAATAAGTAAAATCCAATCCACAGCTGATCAATTAACCATAAAGAAACAAAGAAGATACAGAAGTGAAGAAGAGTATCGCCATCCATTGATCTCTATTTAGAGTGAAATAAACCAGTAGCACATACGTAAGAACAAATCTATCAAACACTTGAAAAGCTATGTATAAGAATTAGCAAAAACACACTACCGGTTTTAGTAATCACGATGAACAGACACCTTGTAAGATGACAAAGCAATCTACAGCTCAAAATCTGCGAAACAATTCCCTATAGCACTTCCTCCATTACCTTCACTCTTCTCAAAACCATAGAAAACAAAATCAACATAGACATAGCTTAAAAGGTCTTGAACTAAAGAACCCAAGATTACATGGTATAAGATTCTAATTCTAACAATTCCCCGCCTTCACACAACGCTAGACAATGAAAAAAATAAACAACAAAAACAACAGGAAAACATGGTGAGGGCCACCAACATTTATGCAATACAACTTAGTTATATTAGGCATATGAGTCACCTATCAACCATCAAAATGGACATCGTTGCGTTAATATCTACACACAGCATTTGTATGTAGCAGGTGATGAGTTAAGTCCTGCCCTTAAAGTACAAGCTAGATTCATGGCTTCAAAAGGCAGCCTGTTGATCAAGAAATAGCGATTCTTGTATACTCTAGCCCTCATAACTCTTGGAGTCGTTAGAATCCTTATCACTTAATTGACCCTTTTTATGTAGAACAAAACAGTTCACATTCAAGCACAATAAGATCAGCTTGTGAAAATTGACCCGGACATA